CACGTCTTTGCGACCCCGAGCCTTGCGTCTTTTCACAACCCTTGAGTTTTCCTCGTCTGAGTCTTGGGTCATGTCCATTATAGTCTGAGGCTGGTCAGAGTCGGCTTGCGAGTCGTCCACCTCCAGACAACGTTTTCTCTTCTGAGGCTGGGATGCAGCTGAAGGCTGAGACTTCCTACGTGGTCTTGATGATCTCGTCCCTTGAGATTCAGACACCCCTTGGCGATGGGCTGAAGTTGGAGCCTGAGGAACAGATTTTCGCAAGTCACCGCTAGTTTGAACAAAGTTGGGATTCCGGACAGGGGTGGTTATGCGGGTAGAATGTCGGGCTGGAGTGTTGAGGTTAGTTGACGCGCGAGAATGTCCTCTGGAGGGGGTCTGGGGAACGGAAGAAGTGGACATGATTGATCGAAAGATAAGAGAAAGAGGCGAAATTCAGAAGGAGGGGATGGCTTTGGAGGTAATTATGAGTCTGAGAGGTGTCCCAAGTGGCACGAAATCACAAGCGTTCCGACAAAATAACGAGCCGCCCAAAAAAATCACGAGCCGTCCTATTAGATCACAAGTGGTGACAGCACACCAATTTTCTGTTTATTCACACAATTTACAAAGACAAAATATCAGCTTATTGTTTAGTGACTGAATTGACCAAAAAAGCAAAGAAAGGAAATGCCTTGGGGCCTAGAGAGGAATAAGTATAAAAGGGGAGACTCACATGCCAAAATGGACTGTTTAGTAAATATACCCAAAAAAAATAATCAAATTAGCTCACTATTTACTCACATGAATTAGCTCAGCACCTTTGAGAGTAGAAGACAAAAAAGAGCATACTCACATTTTTTACTATCAACAGCTGGAGGTGCAATGGTGGGGAGAGGGTGGGGTATGATGGGTGTGAAGGGAGGAGGTGTAATGGTTCAGTGAAGTTTGTGTGGTGGTTGTGTGGTGGAGCAGAGCTTGTGAGCAACGGTGCCACAGAGACGATACGATACGGTATCAGGCGTTTATCTGTATCGTCTCAGAATTGGAATACCCAAAAATACCGGATTTGTGTTGTCTCACTTTCCTGAGACATATACATGTATCGTATTTGAAAAGTGAGAAATGTATTCTGTATCGTCTCAGATGACTGATCCCACCAAAACCGTATTTGATACATAAGATATTTGGCTGTATTGAAGAAAAACCGAAAAAAAACGAAGACGAATTTTTTTTTTTTCATTTTTAAATCCAAATCCAATACAATGTATTTTTTCACCAACCAAGGAAATACTGATACCGGTATCAGGCTCAAAATAAATACGATACAATCCGATACAAATACATGTCTCGTATCTGTGGCACCGTTGTTGTGAGTGGTTGTGAAGCAGAGTTGGGGGGGTAGCTGGTGGAGCCTGGTGATGGTATTGGATGCAGTACCCAGAGTGATTCTTGCAGCAGGGGGAGGAACAGAGACCTGATTATAGGGGAAAAGATGAAGGATTAGTTTTATGATGTATGAGATATGTATGAGAGGAGGGGAAGTTGAGTTACCGGGTAGCAAGCTGTGAGGTGATTGATTGGTGGGGGGGGGGGGAAGCAAGCTGAGATGTGAATTGATTGGTGGGGGGGGGTAGCGAGCAGTGAGGTGGTAGATCTTTGATCGGTGGGGAGGGGGTAGCCGGG